GAGACACAGTGTATAGTTTTCTACTGGAGACATAGTGTATAGTTTTCTACTGGAGACACAGTGTATAGTTTTCTACTGGAGACACAGTGTATAGTTTTCTACTGAAGACACAGTGTGTAGTTTTCTACTGGAGACACAGTGTATAGTTTTCTACTGGAGACACAGTGTATAGTTTTCTACAGGAGACATAGTGTATAGTTCTCTACAGGAGACACAGTGTATAGTTCTCTACAGGAGACACAGTGTATAGTTCTCTACAGGAGACACAGTGTATAGTTTTCTACAGGAGACACAGTGTATAGTTTTCTACAGGAGACACAGTGTATAGTTTTCTACAGGAGACACAGTGTACAGTTTTCTCCAGGAGACACAGTGTATAGTTTTCTCAAGGAGACATACTGTATAGTTCTCCACCAATAGTCTGAGGTCTAGCAGAGGAACATAGAGCCAACAATTTGACCACACCATTCACAACACAAACAAAGGCAACAGCTGCAATGAAATCAAAGCAGCAGCAGCAGCAGTAGCAGTAGCAGCAACAGTAGCAGCAACAGTAGCAGCAGCAGTAGCAGCAGTAGTAGTAGCAGCAGCAACAGTAGCAGCGTGCAATTGCTGACAAGGATGAGCAGTGTGTAGAAGTCCCGTGCGAAGAGTGGATGTTTTCCTAAGCCAACAAGAACAGCAGGAGTTGCGGATAAACCACAAGAACAGCAGAACTTGCAGATAAACAACAAAAACAGTGAAAGTTGCAGATAAACGAGAAGAAGAGCAGAAGTTGCGGTTAAACTAGAAGAACAGCGAAAGTTGCGGATAAACAAAAATAACAGCGGAAGTTGCGGAAAAACGAAAATAACAACGGAGTTGCGGATAAACGACAAAAACAACATAAGTTGCGGATAAACGAGAAAAAGAGCGGAAGTTGCGGATAAACGAGAAGAACAACGGAGCTGCGGATAAACAACAAAACAACGGAAGTTGCGGATAAACAACAAAAACAACGGAAGTTGTGGCAGCTGTTGTCGGTGACCATGGTAACGACGAGAATGTCAAGGACAATCATATTTTCTTTATTAATATTCTTGTGCAGAGCATTTATATAATATCATCATTTATTCATCAATTATAACAATCAACAACACGTGAGCTCCATTTAAAGTAATGTTTTGTCTTGGGGTTTTTTAGACAAAAATATAATCATAAAAAAATTGTCCAAATTAATCAAGTGTACAAGCAATCAGGAAACGACAAATGTAGTTTTTGGGACACCTGAATAGACAAAGGTCTTGAACATCTAGCTCTCGCTGGCTAAATTGAGGGCAAAGGAGGCAGGGGAAGGCCCAGAACAACATACTTAGGGAACCTAAACAAATTTGTAACGGGAAAAAAATCAGGGAAACGTAGCTTTTTTGAGAGCATCAGAGCAAAGGAATGAATGGAGAACCATGATCGCCGATGTCTGTTGCAGATCTGACACAGTGTGATGATGATGATGATGATGATGATGATGATGATGATGATGATGATGATGAAGATGATGATCATCATGTTGATGATGAAGATGATGATGATGATGCCAAGCAATGTCGTTTCTACAAAACCACGACCTTCGATTTCTTCCTGAGAATGGCGGGATGGGCGATCCTTTATTGTTTTTTTGTGGGCTTATTTTGGCCCGTGTTCTGATTTTGGGGCCGATATTTGTGGGCTTTGTAAAAATGTATTGACATAGTGCAGGTTGTTATGTTGTCTAGAAAAAGGAAACAAGAAAAAGGGGAATTGTTTAGTCGGTGATGATGATGATGATGATGATGATGATGATGATGATGATGATGATGATGATG